CAACATGATCCCAGCCCAGGCGCTCCAAACCAGCCCCTCACACTGAAAACCACAGACATTTTTCTCCCAGTGGTATTTCCTGATGGAGTCCCAGCTTCACGTGTTCAGCAACTGCTGCATCCATTTCTTCACAGTTTTCATTAACTCCCCAAAAATGTTGCCTGTCTGTGACCACCTCTTCCTCATCAGCTTCGCCATGCCCTTCAAAGGCATTTCACTGGGCTTTTTTGTTTCCAAAATGCCAGTGAAATTGTATTCAAAGTCACCAATAGCTGACTCCTTATTAAAATATTAATTTTCAGTTTTGTTGCTATTTAATTTCTCAGCATATAAGAGAGAGAGAAGACTCAAAGGTGACTCATAATATGACTACTTTTCCCTAAATCTGTTCTTCCGCTCCTCCTTCACGGTCTCTTAAAATTGGTGTTCTTTGAATCCTGGGATTCTTTTGAGTTCCTTTGTCTTTCCATCATCTATAAACAACCTCATTTTTCTCATGGCTTCCATCTATACATAGATAATTTGATAACCACATCTCCAGCACTACTCTCCTGTGATTTGAGATACAGACATCTCTGTTCAACTTTAACACAATATTTTACTTCAATATCTTACTAGTCAACTAACCACATGTTCTAAACAAGGCATCATGCTTATGAATATGCTTCCATGTTAGTAAATGTCACCATCACATTTATCCCAGTCAGATTTCTAATGTCATTTATGACTCCTTTCTAATAAACTAAGCCAAGTCAACATTAAGTCAGGTATTCTCCTTCCAATTCCTTTCAGATCTATCCACTTCTTACAAGCCACCTACCTCCCCTTACCCGTCAGCTGATCTTCTGCAATAACTCCAATAGCTCTGACTTTCTCAAATGTGTCCACTACAACTAGAGTACCTCAAAAGCAGTTGGGGAGGTGACTTACAGATAAAGTACATGCCATGCAACTGTGAAGACTGCAGCTCAGATCCCCAGACCCCACATAAAAGCCAGGCAGGCAGGTGAGGCACACACCTATAATCCCAACACTTGAGAGGTAGAGAAGGGATCCCTAGATCACATGCGAACAAACATATACACATGCATACCCCATACCCATACCTATTTAAAAGAAAGAAAGAAAAGAAGGAAGAAGGGGGAGGGGGAGGGGTAGGAGCAGGAGGAAGAGAAGGAAAAGGAGAAGAAGAAGAAAAGAAGAAGAAAAAAAAGAAAAAGAAAAAAAGAAGAAGAAGATCTCATCTTCCCTGAAATAAAACCTTTAATGGCTGCTGGCTACAATTAGGAAAAAGTCCAAATGCACTGATACTGCTTACAAAGATGTCTGCATAACTATACAAACCTAGCTTTTCAGTACACAAACCATTACCAAACAAAAGACGTGTGCCATGCCAGTGACTGATCATGTTACACTACTTTCACAGTTTGCCAACTCACACAACATCTACCATTCAACAACAAAGGATCTAAATTTTGTTTCCTCCCGGTCTCCTGATGGAAATTCATGTAGTATTTTTCAATGGTTAACTAGAAAAGGTAAGTAGTGAGAAAGAAGAAGAACACAAAAAATCCAAATTGTTAGTGCTGAAACTGCTATTCCAATCTATGTAAATAGAGTTCTATCAGGGCGGTGGTGGCACACGCCTTTAATCCCAGCACTCAGGGAGGCAGGTGGATCTCTGGGAGTTCAAGGCCAGCCTGTTCTACAGAGTGAGTTCCAGGACAACCAGAGCCACACAGAGAGACCCTGTCTCAAAAAACCAAAAAAAAAAAAAAAAAAAAAAGTTCTAGATTAGTTACTGTGACAAACATGATAAAAAGGATAAGGTCGTCTGTCATCTGTCCCAAGGGAAATAATGGCAGCAAAATCTTTCACTTTAAAGGAATGGAGGGATATCTCACAATACTGACAGCTGATATTAGAGTGTAAGTCACCAGAGCAATGAAAAGATGCTAAATCTGTGTAAGTTCTATGATGACCAGTGGAAAATGCTGACTGGCTGTTTTCAATGCAGTTTTTACAAAGAAATAAAATGCTTTAATTGCAGTGTGTCTCGTTTTTTTAACTCTCAGCACACATATTACCTTTACTATTTACTTTCTTGAATACGTAAAACCAATCAGTGCTTTAAATTTTTTAAAATTACATTGTGTGTGTATGTGTGTGTGTGTGTGTGTGTGTGTGTGTGTGTGTGTGTGTGTGTGGACACGTGTGTTACAGCTCGTTGTGGAGATCAGAAGACAATTTGCAGTTGGTTCTCTCCTTCCTGGGTCCTGGGGAGTGAACTCAGGTCATCAGCCATATTAGCAAGTAATTCTACCCCCTGAGCCATCTCAGTGGCCCCCAACAAGAAGAGTTTCATTAGCTTTGATAGAATGTTACAGGTCATGGAACAACTGTAATATCTAATTGCTTATTGTATTAGGGTGATCTTACATGACTTCAGCTTGAAGAGTTTTGCATTAGTATGCACAAGGAGAGTCTTCTGAGACACTCTGCCCATACAAGCTGGGTAATATATTCATGAGAACCTCTTCGATGCTCCCAAGATCTCTTTTACATATACATTTAAAAGCATGAATGGGGGAAATCTTTGCTGCTTCAATAGTAGCACTACCTAAGCTTTACCAGCTTAAATTAGTACCATTAGAATTTGGACAACAGGCTAGGGCAGCACATACTAGCAATCATTCCTCAGTGGTGAAAGCTGCCCCCCAAGAGACTGGAGAGTCTCTAACTAGAAAAGAGCAGATTTTCACAGAATCATGAGAGCTACAGCGATCAAAATGAGGACATTCTTCCTGGCATCTACAGACATTTCCTTCCTTCTTTAGGATTTTTTCATATTTCCATTTTCTGAGCCTTTAAGGAACATTATCAGATGGAGAAGAAGCAATAGAAAAGAAAGTTATCAAAGCAAATAGATGTGTTTGTAAAATACCAATAGAGCTAAAGGGAGAAAAGATTTCTTATCAAAAAACAAGTGAAATCATCTCAAAAAGTCAAAGCAATGGAAACAGAGGAGAAGAGCACTGTCTCTGGTAAGTACAAAGTCGTTTTTTGTCCTTAAGAGAATCAGTAAGGCCGGGCGGTGGTGGCGCACGCCTTTAATCCCAGCACTTGGGAGGCAGAGGCAGGCGGATCTCTGTGAGTTCGAGGCCAGCCTGGACTACCAAGTGAGTGCCAGGAAAGGCACAAAGCTACACAGAGAAACCCTGTCTCGAAAAACCAAAAAAAAAAAAAAAAAAAAATTTTAAAAAAAAAAAAAAAAAGGGCTGGAGAGATGGCTCAGAGGTTAAGAGCACTGACTGCTCTTCCAGAGGTCCTGAGTTCAAGTCCCAGCAACCACATGGTGGCTCACAACCATCTGTAATGAGATCTGGCACCCACTTCTGCATACATAATAAATAAATAAATACATTTTTAAAAAAAAAAGATAATCAGTAAGAATGGACAGGGGGAAAAAACTCACAAATAAGTGGTAAAGTCAGCGTGGGAGCTTTAATAATGCGTCTTTACTCAAGGCAAGAACCTCTTCACAATGCCACATTACCCTATGCTATATATACCTAAAGATGGGGGATGGGGGAATCATGAAAGAAACAAAACTCAAGGTAGGAGTCCAGAGTAACTTTTATAACAACTTACAACATCCAAATACCAGAAAGGAATGGTAATATAGCTGAGTATTTCCTTAAGAGATCTCCATATCTCTGTGACTTATTCAAAGTCAACAAGTATTTCTTATATTCCTAAGTTGTCAAACTAATTGATTTCCAATAAAATGCTGTGCCCGCAGGAGGCTTTTGTTATATGGTAATACTTACCAGGAAACGTGCTATCATCTGGATGGATTGAATCGCTGATGCTTCTCTTCAAGAGGTGATAAATACTGGATGTTGTCAAGTCTGTAAAAGCAAAGGCCTAACTCGGTCACCTAACTCAGAGAGCTCAAGAGTTAACATAATCTAGGCCTGTTTCAATTTCACTATTAGAGAATCTGAAGCCCAGAATAACTGGGGATCAAGATTCTACTCAAGCGCTGATAAATTTGAGCAAGCAGAGAAAATAGTCAAGGCCCCTGATTCGTACATACTAGTCGGTAACAAGGAATCAAAACTTCCTTCCAAAAGAACCATATACATTTCTTCCTCAAAATGTCTCCTTGATCAAAACATGGAAAATGCAATATAGAGACTAGACAGAGACATCAAAGAGCAAATACAATCAAAAGCAGCTAAAATCGCTTAAAATTTGTCACTTCTTTAAAAAAAAAAGTGTGACGTGTCTCCTCTATAGAATGTAGCCCGAGATCTGCAAACTCCATCGTTTCTTTCTGTATTTTCTTCAAGGTGGAACACACTGAGGCATGTGTACTTTCTAAAGGCTTACCTTTCGAGCAAGCAGAATTCGATTACTATGCTACCAGAGGATTCAACCAGCTAAACATTCAATGTGCCAAGCCCTTGGCATACTGAGATCCAATACCCACAATTTTATATATTTTCCATTAATATAATACTGTTCGGTTCTTATTAAAACTTCTTCTGAGAGTTGCATCTCCCTGGGACCAGTTGACCTAGGCTCCTCCCCCTGGGACCTCAACATAAACTCAAATCCCTTCGCCTCCCCGCCGGTCTTTCCCGCCTCTTCTCAGCCCAGCGCTTACGAGGCTGTTTCTCGGTGCTCTCCAGGGACGCCGCCTCAGTCCCGGGTTGGCTCTCCCCACCGGGCACCGATCGACACTTTCCTTCCCTCCAGGTGACGAGCAGCAAGTACCGATCCATTTTCTTCGCGCTCAGCCTCAGGTTTAGGTCTCAAAAGAGCCGCGCGCAACGCCCACTTCCGGTTTCCTGCCGCCTAGGTTGGCCGGGAATAATGTCCTAGGTCGGTTTTTTCCGCCCATTATTTTTGGAAATTATTCTCTCAGTAGCCACACTCTTTGCTCCATGTCATAACGAAACGGCTCCTGGAGGTCCGGGACCGGAGCGTGGCGAAGAAGCAGAAGAGTGCTCACCGGAAGTAGGAACCGTCGTGCTCAGTTGTCGGTGTTTCCGGCCGGACGGGTGATGCTGGTGCCCCGGGACTGGGGGAGTGGAAACCGGAGGACGCTGCAAGTCGGGAAGCATGTCCAGCTTCTCTAGGGCGCCCCAGGTGAGCTCGCGCACGTCTGGCGTGGTGGTGTGCTCTTGACGCTGGCAAAAATGAAGAGCGGTGGTTCACGGGGATTTAGTGAACACAGAAGCTGAGCCTTCAGGGAAGCTGACAGCCGTGGCCAAGAAGCACCTTAGGGAGTCACATACCAGAGGGTTGTGACTCAGGCCACCGCTTTGATATCTTTCTCTGGGTACTCCTTTCTCTCTTCAGCCTCCCCATCTCGGGTCTTCTGTTCCCTACAGAAAGTCCTAGGAGAGAATTCCAGTGAGATAATAAGTTGAATGACATGGAGCAGTGAAAACCATTGAAAGATGTTTGGTGCAATGGAGACTGGCGGGGAAGGGGAGAGGGTGGAGCTGTAGCTGATTCAGTTCAGTACCTGTCTAGCATGCAGGAAGGAAGCCCTGGGTTTCATCCCCAGCAGGACATAAACCTGGCATGGTGCACGCATGTTATTCTAGCACTTGGGAGGTGGAGGAAGAAAGATCAGAAGTTCAAGGCCATTCTTCTCAGCTACGTAGCGAGCTTCAAGTCTGCCTGCGCTACATGAGACTGTTTCAAAAAAAGCAAAGAATGGGGACCTGCTGGAGGGTTTTGACCTAGAAGTTTTAGGCATTAAAAGGACCTAGCACCCAGGCTGCCAGGTGGACGATAGACTGTTCACAGATGGGAATCTGTGAAGGACAAAAGAGGAAAATCAGTATGAATTGCTATTCTAGTATACCACGAAAGATACTCATGCACAAGTCAGGCTAAAACACTGGAGTGCTGAAAAGCCCACAGTATGTGTTAAAGGATTGAATGTGGATGAAAAAAGAATTCAAGTTTTGACATCATTACTAAACAGTTATCATTTTTCACTTATTAATCCTACAACCCAATTTTTAAGAATCTAGAGGCAAATGACAGCCTGTTCTCAGGCTGGTAACTGTGGTTGCTTCAAGGACACCAGACCAAAACAAAATCTTGAAGCAATCCCGGGCATTTTGCCATGTCCCAAGCAGTGTATTATTAACTCTTAATGGTCAGAGTGCCTAAGAAAAATCCTCAAACCAAAGCTGCTGCAGTTAGTATTTAAATCCTGGCATAATACAATGTTTACATTTTATACCTTTATAGAGCTTGTTTATGTGTCTGATCCTGACATTTTGTTGTTCCTTGGTCATTTGACACCACAGTGACTCTGCATGTGCTAATTTTGATAAGAAAGGGAGGTCCTGACATCTCATTCTTTTATCATCTTTCCCCCTTCATTCTTTGCCCATTAGTGTAAGTAGGGCAGGGTAACTTCAGTTAATCTAACTTTGTTACTGTATGTGCCACATAATTGCCTGAGTGTATAGTGGGAAGAGGTTTGTAATCTGAACTGTGACTAATTCCTCTAGCCCACTGAATCTTATTGACCTTTTTGAGTTTACTTTGTTTTGAATATCTTGTTCCTGGGTAAGTACAAGGACAAATGTTTCAGGAATGTCTTATAGCCTCATAAAGAGACCTGGTTTCTTTCTTTTTTTTTTTTTTTTTTTTTTGGTTTTTCGAGACGGGGGTTTCTCTGTGTACCTTTGTGCCTTTCCTGGCTCTTGCTCTGTAGACCAGGCTGGCCTCGAACTCACAGAAATCTGCCTGCCTCTTGCCTCCCAAGTGCTGGGATTAAAGGCATGCACCACCACCACCGCCCCGACCTCTGGTTACTTTATGTGTGTCATAACCTCCAAGGCATAAGGAAGACTTTCAGGTAGATAAGGATATCTCTCTAGAAGCAGAGGAGCTGGGGGATAGTATGTCCTGGGGAAGCTTAAAAGCAGCATTCCTGGGAGAAGGCATAAATGATTCATAAGAAATTTTCCATCAATCCAGTATCCCTAAATTGGGCAAATATTAAAAGTCTGCCCAGTATGCAACAGGTGGAGATGAAAACCAAAGTTGCCACAGTGGCCATCATGTGCCTCAGCTCTGCTGGATCCTTATCAAGCAGCTGTGCTGGCCTTATGACTTCTGCCGTTTCCATCAGATATGGCTGTAGCAACACATGATGGCATGTAATGACGTATTTAATTATTTCCATTCTAACTAGAATTTTCTTCATCTTTTTCTTTTCAAGCAATGGGCCACTTTTGCTCGAGTGTGGTACCTCTTAGATGGCAAAATGCAGCCCCCTGGCAAACTTGCAGCTATTGCCTCGAAAAAACTTCAAGGGTTACATAAACCAGTGTACCACCAGCTGAGTGAGTATTGTCTTACACCCGGCATTAGCAGCCATAGTTTGCACTCTAGAGAGGAACCATATGAACTTTGACTGTGCTGTGTCTGAGGGCTCCTTTCTTTGTGTATGAGAATTGTGCATTCCGTCCTTCTGGAAGTTCTCATCGGATGCTAACTGAATTTGACTTACTGATAAAACAAACAAACAAACAACAACAAAAAAAAAAAACCAGAAGGACCAGTTCTTCCAGGACAGCCCTATGTTATGTGGTTACCAAACAGAAAATCTTCAGTAGCCCTTACTTCCATTCTAATAGTATCCTGATTTGCCCTGTAAGTTGGGTTTCCCTTGCACATGTCTCTTCTTATGTGACATGTCTTTGAGTAGAGAGTTTTTAACACCAGTCCTGCCTATTTTCTAATATTCCTTCCCTAGAAAGACAGAGCTAGCTGAATATGGTAAGTTGCCTTTCACTCTTGAATTAAAGAATTGCTTTCTGTATGCTATTTCTAAAATGATAAGACTGTTTTCATTCTATAAGAGTTAGGCTTGTAGGCATTTTAGATTGACTTTGTTTACTGAGGCATTTTCCTGTCACAACCTAATTTTCCTCTCGCTAAAAAGTGGGCATATCCTGCAGCACAGCCTGGAGACCTCTTCTCATTCATTGAGTGACTGATTTCCATCTCAGACCTCTAAGAACTATGTGTGCAAATCCTTCCTAATACCTGTCACTGCTTTTGACCTGTATGCTACACTCGTGTCCAGTTTCTGCTCAGCATGTCCTCGTGAGTACCTAGTAGTCATCTGCAGTAAATCAGCCCAATTAGAGACATTTTACTCCTGAATTTTCCCTACCCAAACCAGCCTGTCCTCAGTTTTCCCCATCTTAATTAATAGTATCTGTGTCTTCTTGCATGTTCTGGTTTGAAGCCTTCTCTACTTCTAAGTTCTGTGACTCTTTTTTGAGTCCCCACAACCTGCATAAGTATACCTAATTTAAAAATTAGCAAACAGCATCCCTGCAGTCTGGCAGCTTTTCTTACTCTGCCTCTATTCTGTCTGAACTGTTGTTCTCTACACTTTCTTGCTCATACATAGTTCCTGCACAGACTAGGCAGAGTTATCTTTTCCAGAACTACAGAATAAAAGACAGAGTTGTGCCTGTCCTCTACAGGACTTATTAATGTGGCTCCTGAACCTCTTACATTATTCCCATCTGTCCTCTCAGCAATCCTCTAAGGCCTGCTGCTGTCTCCTTAACTGGTGCAGCAAGCACGTGTTTGCTTGGGTCCCTTCACACTCCCTTCTCCCCTGCTTGTTCTTTCCCAATTCTGCATGGTTCACTTTTTTGTATCTTCTGTTTTTCTGGCCAGTCATTTCTGTCCTAAACAAGGCCTTCCTTGGGCCCTCTGTCCAGTTGCCCACTCACCCTTTGAACCCTACTTTGCCATTTTTTAAAATAACATTTATGTATCACTTGACATGAACATACTTGCTGTCTACCTTTCTTCACCAGACTTAGTTTAAAAAACAAAGAACTCTTAAGTACCCATAATATTGGAATGTAGAAATTATTTGTTGTATGAATGTTTTGCATTTATAAATACTAGTTAAGAAAATGGAAAGAAAGAAAAAAACCTTTCATCTAGGGCCTTGGCATTTGAGCAGCTAGATTTTGAGATCCATGAAGCTGGAGCAAGAAAGAAGTTATTTCAAATGATAGGATTTAGCTAAGAGCAAGGCTTTATAATTTTTCTTCTGTGTTAAGCCTATTGATCTTCCTTGTGGAATAAACTTTCAGTAGAGTATTGGAATAATCTGAACTCTGAAATCTGTGTGTAGAATATGAATCTAAGGATTTTGCCATGCTCATGCGCCTCATGTAGTATGTGGCTCCTACCAGATACTCATCAGAAGTAGCTTGCGCGTGACATTTCAAACAGATGCTTTATAAATACAGTCACCTCTTTTCTTCCCTGAGTTTGGTCTGTAGTCACCATGACAACTGGATTACTCACTACTACACAGAATTTAAGGGGAAACGCATGTCACAATATTTCTATTATCCACTCAATATCTAACCTTGTTTGTGTGGATTTCTGTAAAAATCTGTAATATATATATATATATTCTTTAACACTGAGCTCTTGATCCACAATATTATAACTCAGTTGTGAACTAAGTTTATCTAATACACATTATCTCTCAGAGCATATTGCACAGCCCTCCTATGCTCAGGAATATTACACAGTATTCCAGTACCAGAGTTGAGGGGTACTTTAAGAGTGAAGGCACTTAACAAAAAATATAAGTGCAAAAACTACAACACTAAATAGACCTTCAGAACGGCACTATTTGCATTGTAGAGAAGAAATAGGACATTGTTTTCTGTAGCCAAAGCTGGCAATGTGTGTATCAGGCAACTCAAGTTCTAACAGCTAAGGAAATTTACAAATAGGAAGTCATGAACAATGAGATCAACTGAATTTTGAAAGAAATAGTGAGCAGTATTTGTACTTTCGCTAAAAATAAATAGCTGTTTTTCTTTAAAAAAAATATTTGGCAAACCAAAACCATGCATCTTCACAGAAGTGCAAATTTGTATAATTTCTCCTGACTTGAGATGTTTTACCTGCCCCAGAGGTAGATGAAAAACTGAAGGAAGAATATCCTGACATCCTCATTGTCCTTCAGCTACGTCATAGTATAGTTGGGCCCGACCCTTGGGCTCCTGCTTCCTCACATTGTCTTCTGTGTGGTTTTTAGCACTTACAGCATTTCCTGTCCATGTATTTGTTCCTTAGGGATAGAATCAATAAACAGTAAACAGTTCCACTGAGACTGCCTTTGTAGAAACCGCAGTGATAAGAAATAGGAGGTATACCAAAACAAGTCATAGTCACTAATTGCTGTCTCCAACGACAGCAGGGACCAGCATCCTCAGTAGTTCTTTGTTTAAGAGGGAGTCATTGTTTCTTATGTGTTCTTTAGATGCTACAAGTACACACTCTGCTGGAACAGCAGAAGAACTGTCCTGACTGCCTGGAGGCCATCCTTTCTTAAGAACAGAATAGCTTCTCTATGAAGTTGGATACCTTTAACATTCTAAAGGTTAAATTTCCCATTTGCCTCACTGGGTTTAATATGTTAACTACATCAGCAAAGCTTCTCATGGCCACAAGATGTCACTATAGTCAAATTCTAAATCTTCAGTGGTTGGTAACGCATTGTCTTTAAGAGTTTATTTCTGACATTTAGTAGTTTAACAAGCAGTTAACGGATGTTAGGTATTCATAATCACTGTATACATTTTTTTTTGAAAATGAACAGCAAATGGTCAGACCTGTAGGGATGGCTATAAAGTTGATCATTAAGGTATCAGAATGTAACATAATATTTGAACTGCTTGATTTGCTGGTGGGCCTTGCAAGATGTTAGGAGAAACAGGCAAACAGGCTTGCCCCTAAGAAATTACTTTGTTTTATTTTTCCTCCCTCCCTCCTCTGTCTGTCTATCTGTCTGTCTCTCTCTCTCTCTCTCTCTGTGTGTGTGTGTGTGTGTGTGTGTGTGTGTGTGTGTGTGTGTGTTTTACTGGAGATTGCACCTTGGTCTTAGACTTGCTACATTAGTACTGTAACTCTGAGATTTGATTTTTGTGGGAGATGTAGGTCAAGGAGCAGATGACACGACTCATCAGCGTGTTATCACCGTCTTCATAGTCAGCCAGTGTTTGTGGTCACACAGTGACCTGTGGCTACACACAGGCTCGGATGCCAGAAATCATATTCACGTGAATCTTTCCATATTTGACCTTAGGAGATTGGAAGTAAGCACAAAGGCCAGTGCCAACTTTTATTGTTTATTACTTACTTTGAATAGCAATTTTTGAATATTTTTTACACCAAACCTTACAGTATATAAGAACAGTGTTGTACTGGTTGACGGAGACATCCGAAGACTCTTAGGTTCGGCTTAAAAAAAGCAACATGCTAAAGTAGGGCTTGTGGGGAGGAAGAAAAACAGCGTCAGGCTAGAAGGAGATGTTTGCAAACCACCCGGTTAACAAAGGACTTTTGTCTAGACTGCATAAAGAACTGAACAACACTAGAAAGTCACAGTCCAATTAGAAAATGAACAGGGTGCATGACCAGAGGGCAGGTACATGCTAGTCTAATTAATACAAGCCAGTAGGGGAGATGCAAATTAAAACCACAGTGAGCTTTGAAAAGAAAAAAAAAATAGTGATAATGAGTGAAAAAAAATGGAGAAATTGTATTACTCATCTCTCAGTGGAAACATAAAATGACAGAGTCTAAAAAAAATTATGCAGGAATGCTGATTTATTTACCGCCAGTACATGGACCAAAACTGTGCATTTTTAGTTAAAAGTTTAAAATTGTGCCATGAGTGGCTTGGTGACGGCAAACGCTTGCTGCCCACATCTGGCAACCTCAGTTCAATCCCAGTGACCCACAGAAAGGTGGAAGGAGGAACCAACCACCTCCGGAGAGTTGTCCTCTGACCCCCGCGTGAGCTTCATGGCACACAGGGCCCTGCTTTCACACACACAAAGAAACAACTTTTTAAAATTTTAAATGAAAAGGTATGGATTTCATTAACAAATTTAGACAAAACCAATCATACTATAATCAGGACTTCAGTCTTTTCCACCAGTGGTTACTTTTGTATTCATCTGTAGTTCACTTAAACACAAATATTTAGTTGTGGGTCAGTTTTATTTTGTAGTAGCAAGGTGTTTAAAGAGATTTGACATAACTTACTATGGAAAAATAATCTGTACCCTAGATGTAAAAGACATTGTTTTCATCTTATTTGTGCTGTGTTAACTAAAGCCCCTCAAAAGAGCCTTTTTGATGTTTTTGTACAATTTTTAAGTGACATTAGATATTTTGTACATATAAAGCCTTTTTAAGGATGTGGTTTTTTTCTTCAGTAGGTATCACAGCTGAGTCTGACTTGGTAGCTATGTGTGAGCATCAGCAAATCGCCTAAGCTTGAAAAGTCTCAGCTGCTGTAGTTGTGAGCTCTGTGACGCCGGGGTCATTCAGCATGCCGAGGCTTCTGGAACATTTTCACACCCTCCTCAGTTGACCTCCTCGTTCCCTGTCCAAATGTCCCTGGCCAGCGTTTGTCACTCATAGGCGCTTGGGTCATTTCATCAGGCCGATACTGTCAGACGTCCCCTTCCAGCCCAGCAGCAGCAGGCTGTCAGTTCCTCCCTATAGCCTCTCCCCCCTTTACACTGAGAGTACAAACCACTGCTCTCTCTGTCCCCTTCCTTCACCCTCGATGCTAAAGTATGAACCTGTCCGTTCTGGGTTCAAATACCTTCTTTGCATAGAACCTTCTCGTGTGACTTGGAGTTTCTAGTAGTATACTAATTTATACTTACTATTTTTTAGTGACATTTTAAAATACGGTTCTAGAATCTTTTGAAGTTTTTGTTGTTGTTTTTTTCTAAGTAGTACAACAGTGATTTAATGTTTCAGATTAGCCAATGACTTTATGAACAGTGGTTCATGTGGAAACTTACATGTTGACATTTCAGTTTGTTTTTAGATGGATACAAACGTAAAGGTCTTTTTCATGAGGAAATTAACACAATACACGTATTGTGGTTTTCAGGTCATCTGTCCTGTCCAGTCTGTTTGCAGTCTTTGCTGAGAGTGCCATTTAGATCTAACTAGTTAAATGTGGTTGGAAAACGCCTTGTGGCAGTAGTTAATGCATAAAGTCATAGTGTCCTATTGTTGTCTAAAATTGAAAAGAATACTAATCAATCGTAATGTCTCACATTTGTTTCTAATTTGCCTATTGGTAAAATAGACTTTGTACTTTTATGTACATACTGTTTTCATTTTCTTTGCTATGTGTAAAGGAAAACTTGTATCATCTACTTAGATGTAATAGAAGTGTTTAAATGTAAGTTTTAGCAGGGGAGTTTTCAAGGGGAGGAGTAAGCAGAATAATAATAGCTTGCCTCTAAAGAATGTGTTGTCGCTATTGCCATCTTTCACATTTGTATTTTACCTTTCTTCCAGTGTTGAGATCTTCGTGGTATATCAAATGAAACAGATGTGTTCAAGCATTGTGATCTTGCACTGTGATTTTTATTTTTGAATGTGTTGTTGGCACTTTGGTAACTAAATAGTCAAGCCATTGTTTTTAAGGCTTTGATGTTTGATGTTTTCATACGAAGTCTTTCTGCCTTGTTTCTTTTGAAATCCAGGTGACTGTGGAGATCATGTTGTCATAATAAACACAAGACATATTGCCTTTTCTGGAAACAAATGGGAGCAAAAAGTGTACTCCTCACATACCGGGTAAGAAAATATCATTGCTAGGGAAAACAGTTCAGATGTGTGGCTTTAATAATACCGTTACCCTTATTTTAAAGGAAAAGGGTAGTTGTTTTTTATATAATTGGCATGTTAGAAAATACTGATTTTATTGATATTGCATGTCAAGCTTGTTGACCAAAAACAGACCACCACGCATTACACGGTCAGTCTTTCTCCTTCCTGTAATTCCTCTCACTGTTTGCAGTACCGTCTGAACACGGAAATCTCACACGAACAGTAAGGGATGACCACTCTTCTCTGGCTCCCATCTTGTCTGTCACCATCTCTCTTGGGGAAATGTACTTACTGGTGTACTGAGGATTCCCAAGGACGGTGGGACTCTGTCCTCCACCTTTCCAGCTAGGTCGTCTTTTCCTGTAAAATAGATTTTCTTCAAGGCCATGTCACTATTGTGGTTCAGAACATTTACTGTCAGCCAAAAGCCATGTCCTTGTTAAATTATGTCTCTTCCTTTATGTGTGTTTTAGTTGTGTTAATCCAATAGCAAGAGATTAGCTTTGCTCTATTTTAGATTCCTCTTCATCATATTATTTTGAGATCCTGGTTTTGCCATCTATGTTGAATTAACCCATAGTTTCCGGTGAAGGGCAAGATTTACTTAAATCTACCTCTGTGCTGTCACCCAAGCTATGGTTATAAATGTTGACCTTCCACTCTTTTTCAGTTTATGTGTGTGAATGCTTTGCCTGAATGCGTGTGTGTATACAGAGCACTCGGGTACAGTGCACAAGGAGGCCAGAAGAGGGCGTCGGGGCCTCTGGAACGGCAGTTAGACACAGCTGTGAGCTGCCATGTGAGTGGAATGGCAAACCGGTCCTGGAGCACGCATCCTAATTGGTCTTATAATAAAAACCCGGAGTCAGTTATCAGGGTGAAAGCTGAAAGATCCGAGAAGCAGAGCAGCCAGCCACTAGTTCTTACTCTAGGAATCCTCGGCAGAAAAGAGAGCTGAGCTCCTGTCTCCTAGCCATACCTCTTCCTGTCTCCACTTTTCTAGTGCTAGGATTAAAGGCATGAGATCCCAAGGGCTGGAATCCAAGGTGTGTGCCACCACTGCCTGGTTCTGTTTCTCTTTTAGGCTGGATCAATCTTGTATAGCCCAGGGTGGCCTTGAACTCACAGAGATCCGTCTGCCTCTGCCTCCCAAGTGCTGGGATTAAAGGTGTGCGCCACCACTGCCTGGCCTCTATGGCTAACTAGTAGCTTAGCTCTGCACTCTGATCTTCAGGCAAGCTTTATTTGTTAGATTACAAACAAAATATCACCACAAGGTCCACTGTAAGAGCAGCTAGTGCTCTTAACCACTCAGCCCTGATCGTCTACTCTTGATCACAATCATTCTTTCATTTCTGACTGCACCTTCACCTTTGAAGTCACAGTCTGTTCTTTTCCTCTCTTGCCCAAGCACATCTTAAGTGCTTCAAGTAACTTTATTTTCTAGAGCCAGATTCTGTCCATTCCTCCCCTTAAAATATGTTGTGGAAGCCGGGTGGTGGTGGCACACGCCCTTAATCCCAGCACTCGGGAGGCAGAGGCAGGTGGATCTCTCTGAGACCAAGGCCAGCCTGGTCTACAGAGTGAGTTCCAGGACAGGTGCAAAGCTACACAGAGAAACCCTGTCTCGAAAAAAATGTGTGTGTGTGTGTGTGTGTGTGTGTGTGTGTTCTGGAAATCTTTTTTTTTTTAAAAAAAAAGATTTATTTATTTATTTATTTATGTATACAGCATATGTGACTGCAGGCCAGAAGAGGGCACCAGATCTCAATCCATGTGGTTGCTGGGAATTGAACTTAGGACCTCTAGAAGAGCAGTCAGTGCTCTTAACCTCTGAGCCATCTCTCCAGCCCCATGTTCTGGAAACCTTATACAATTTCACAGAAATAAACTCACATGCATCTCTAGTAACTTCTGCTACTGGCAAATCTTTGTCCTCTAAGTTCTGTAAAATGAGAACTGGGAAAGAAATGTGAAAAGTCATGAGAACATAATGTTGCAAATGCCTGAAGATGAGTGTCTCACCAAGAAGCTGGACTGTTACTGCAGCTGACAGGCAGAAGCAGCTACCAGGAGCACAGAGCACTAGTGAGCAGCCAGATTGATGAGGGTGTCAGACCGTGGTGCCTTCTCACTGACGGGAGGACTCACACTCTAGTGTGAGGAGGGTGTCAGACAGTGGTGCCTTCTCACTGACGGGAAGACTCACACTCTAGTGTGAGGAGGGTGTCAGACAGTGGTGCCCTCTCACTGACGGGAGGATTCACGCTCCTTGGCGCGTGGTCAGCACACGGTACCACTGCTCCTTCATCCGTGCTTTTTTGGAGAATACACTGTTACTCCTCACCTCGATGCCTCTGCATGGGCCGTTTGTCCCTTTACAAAGAGTGTCGTGTCCCCCGTCTCAAGGACTCCGGTTCACCCACTAACACTAGCTTGTTGTTGTCAGCCCTCGGAATGCCTTCCCTGTGTTCTTGTTGTCTGGGGTGATCACTTTGTTTCTCTCTTCCTGTTTGCTCCTCATCGTGCCTTGTCTACACCGCTTTCCTGTGCTCCTCAGTACTGCATCACAGTTTTGTGTTCAAAATGGTACTTTATGGTTGTAGATTTTTAATACATGTGACTTTTAGAACATAGAGTTTTAAATTAAATCCACTTCTGATCCATGACTCTGCATTTAAGTGTGTATGTAAGTTTATATCTTTTTTTACCTAGTATGAAATTTTGAGAACCTTTCATAAAAATGATTTTATAGCATTGGATAGCAGTGTACTGTGTGATTTACCAGGCATTATTCTTCTATGTTAAAAATGAAAACATCTAGGCTTTTATAAAGTTGGATAGTATTTTTATCCATTAACATTATAAAATATGTAAGTTCACTTAAAAAGAACCTCTGGAAAGGAAGTGAATTTTGAGATGAAAGGAATGAATAGGTCTTTTCAATTCCAGAGTCATTCTGCTATTGTAAAGTCTACCTGGTTTTTGATGACGGCAGCCATAATCTAACATTGAAAACAAATGAATAGTAATAAGGCTCCGCAATTTTTATGGACATCTGATTATTTTCACTTGCTTAATAGTGAGGTTTCCGCTCTTTTTTATCACCTTCGGGTATTTAGGGGGGCATATTATTTGTTTGGGGCTCTTTGAAACAGACTTTGATGAAGCCCAGGCCTGTCTTGAGCTTGTTATGTGGCTGAATCTGGCCTTGAACTCCTGACCCTCCTGTCTCTGTCTCTAAGTGCAGGGCGTGTAGGAGTATGCTGCACCCCCAGCATTTTTTTTAACCACTCTTTATGTACTTTTAGTCTATTGGAATATTAGTCCATTGTTAATTTTTGTTTGTTTGCTTCTTAGGAACTTTATGGTGTTCCTTACTGTTAGTTAATTTTTGTATAATTTAATCTGGCTTTTCCATTGAAATCCTTCTGACTTCTTGTCTCAGAAAGTCCTTTCTCAACAAATCGTTTATGAACATTGACTTCTTATTTTTTTTTTTAGTGTTGAATTGCCTTGTTTAAATTCATTGAAATGTTTTGACATGACTGACCAAAAATCATGTCATCACTCTCTTTAAGACAGGATCCTGTCTTATTACCTGTGCATCCCTCATATGCAGCAAAACAGGCACTTAGAAAGTGTGTGTTGGATTAATTTATATGAGAAACTCATGGCTGTCATATCAATCATGTTTCCCTTATTCCCTCAGGGGCATTTCAGTAAAGGAAGAAATGTAGTTGCTTTTCACTTATGAGATTCAATTGACTATAACATTACTCAAGTCATCTCCTGCTTGGGATTTATATTAGCTTTCCAGGGCCTTCAGGAGAAAGTCCAAAATCTGGAAATATAGCATAAGTGCTATTATGGTTTGGAATTTGCCAGCCCAGTGTTGAAAATAGAAAGGTAAACTCTAGCATAGACATTACAAAGTAGTTTTCCATCAAGGGAGAGACTACAAGAATAGATGTCTAGACGGGTGTTTCTTCTTCTAAAACTGAAATTCCATGAAACAAATAAGTTGTAGCAGCTTGAAAATGACCTATCTTTCTCAGTAAACATTTAGTATGTTTGTTTTAAGTTGAAGTCCTAAGGTGTGGTTTACTCAATCATCTTAGAATTCTTTTCAGAATTTCTTGAAAGTAACTTAAATTTGGGTAATCCTCAACTTTTCTCTTAGAATCCATTAGCTGTCCACTTTTTCCCTTTTGGATTTTTTGTTTTGTTTTGTAAAAAAACATTTAAGTTTTTTTTTCTTTTATTTAGGTAGTAAGCCCTCATAACTGTATTGTTGTCAGTTTCTTACACTTTCCCAAGGTGATTTTCTCCTTTGACTCAGAATTTTATAAAATTAGATGGGGCAAATAACAGTTTTTATTAGACTACCTCCCGTACAAACATACAACCAATGTCTCGCCATTATTTGAGAGCCACTGACAGATCCGGTTTCTAGGTCTGGATCTGGGTAGTGCACTGATTCCAGTTTGACGATTTAAGTCCAATATTTGATCTGAGCACTGTGCAGTAGGTAACTTATTACCTGGAACTAACACATAATTCGTAGTGATCCTTTACTGTCTGTTAGAACAGGATCATTACCTGAATAATTGGTAACCAGCTGTAACCCCAGTTGAGCAGCTTCCTCAGCTCTGTGAGGAGGTGGAGGCCAACCTGAGCTGTGAGACCCTGTCTCAGTGTAAGAAGAGAGAGAGTGAACTTGACTTTAGGACCAAGTGCTCTGCCACCACGTTCCCAGGTTCTCATACCTACATTATGCAGTTAGTCTAACTTGGTAGGGAACATAAATTATTCTGACTCATTGCTATTTCTTCTTTTAAATAAATAAGTGGTACTCTAGATAGAATGAATAGGTAAGAGAATGAATGAGTAAATAACAAAATTCATATGAAAATAATTATGCTAAGAAAATTTCTGAGTTAACTACCTGTTAAGAGAATAATATTTTAACAGCATAGCTTACATATTTATTTTTAACGTGTGTGTGTGCACACATGTGTACCTGTGAATACATGTGTGTAGCCAGAAGTTTTCTCCAGTCTCACTGAGCCATGCGGTCCTGCAGCTGCCTATAAAATAATTACTCAGAGGCTTAATATTAATTATAACTGCTCAACCATTAGCTCAAGCTTATTACTCACTAGCTCTTACACTTAAATTAACCTATAATTCTTATCTGTGTTTAGCCACATGACTTGGTACCTTTTCTCAGTTCTGCCTTGTCATCTTGCTTCCTCTGTGTCTGTCTGGTGACTCCTGACTCTGCCCTTTCTCTTCCCAGCATTCTCCTGGTCTGCTCGCCCCGCCTATACTTCCTGCCTGGCTACTGGCCAATCAGTGTTTTATTAAACCAGTGTAAAGCATTATCCCACAGCATGTGTGTACAAGTACATATACATGCTTGTGTGGAGAGGAGATCAGATGACAACTTGCAAATATATATAAATTTTTAGTAAGCAATTTCCAGAAGCAAAATATAATTTGTTAGAATCATTTTGTTATTATAAAAGGATCATCAGCTTACAAACATGTTTCTTCTTTTAACAGCTACCCAGGTGGGTTTAGACAGGTAACAGCTGCACAACTTCATCTGAAGGACCCAGTGGCGGTAAGCGTATGGTTTATGTTGGTCATCTGGACGAGACTGATTCAGACTGTTCTTGCCATTCCCTTCCAATATAGGCACCATTCAGGGCAATACCTGCTTCATCGTATTACACAAAGTTTTATTAATGCCATATTCCTTATCATTCAGTTCTGTTTCCTAATTACTATCATTAGTTACATCAACTCAAAGAATTCAGATACTTTTTTACTTTTGTTACATCTGTCCTTGTCTAGAATATGATAACTCGCTGCAAATACCTTTGGAGAAAAACAAAGGAATATAATGTGTCTGCTTAGTATATTTTAATCTTACCAGTTAATTTGCCTGATTTATTGTCTGATTGACAGTTTATTTGTTAGTTACTAAAATCTAAGTTATGGGTTTATTTATTTCTATATAGCTCTGTCAGTTGGGAAGCATATATGTTGAAGATTTAGTGTCAGATGAATTTAAGTTTCGGATTATAATCTTAAAGAATAAATAGATGGACATCAGTGTGTTTGGCTTTCTTTATCTCCAATAATATTCTTCCCTTGAGCTCTAGTGTTCTCCTAATTTGAATATAGCTGTTCAGTCTCCTTTTGATTTGCATTTACCTGGGATATAATTTTCTGTAGTTTAAACTTTCTAACTCCTCCTAACATCCACTATCCCTTCCAGTATTTCATGGAGGAGGAAACAGATTCCAGAAGGAAGGCAGGGGAACAATGGATTGTAAGCAAATAAGAAAAAAAGAAAACACTCCCCAACAAACAACATCAGAAGTCAAATGATATCAGGATAAATAACAAGAATATCAAATTGGGAGGGCTAAGAAAATATCAAAAAGTTGTGTTTGTTAGAAATTAAACCCGGAGTCTAGCTTGCTAGGCCACCACTCTACCACTGAACTGTATCCCTAACCCTACAAGATATGTTAATAAACAATTAATAAACACCATTATTAATTAAATAAATATATATCACTATTAAAAGATAAAATAAGCACTATTATTAATGGTGTTAATAATAAGTATTATTGTTTATTAATAATAAACATTATTATTTGAGTGACATACTCAACAAAGTTCTAATCCATGTATTTGTCCCACTGCTGTCTCCTTTTGCTGCTTTACAACTTATTTTTCCTTTTTGGCTGTCCATAAACCTGACCTTTGAACTATACTCAGAAGAACCAGCCCTTTTCCCCTTTGGTGACTACTAGTTTTTTTCTTAAGTGCATTTATAAGTGAACAAGGTATTACTCCAAAAATACTCCTTGTTTTCCTGAAAAAGTTAGAGGGAAGATGGATAAATTGGCATGATGCTACCGTTTGTTTATACTACCTTGAGTTTTCATGATGAAATGCAGGAGAGGGATATTCTATTATAGTAAGACCTGGCAACCATTTAGAAGTTCCAGACGTTATCATCTGTATCATCCATGCTCAGACATCTTCTTAGGAAGTAGTTAGTGTTCTGTTTCCTAGCTAGTGCGTTTCACACTATCACAGGTCACTGTCTTACGTCCCACTTGTTAGGCCGGCCTGTATAGAAAACCTGTAAGGTTGGCTAGATGATGCTCTCTAACTTAACTGTCACAACAAAGTATAGTTTAATTATAAGTATTTTAAAAGTTTCCAAAGTTAGTTCTGTTTCATTTTGGCTATGTTAACTGTACACTAGGAGGCAATATAATTCAACTTTTTAATATTGACACTTGATAAAGTTTATAAAACATGTTTTTAACATTTTTTACTTTTCAAGTTACCATGCAACAAATGGGTTTAATTCTGGCAGTGTTATACACATCTTTCTACTTTGTTCTAATTACAGTTTTGATGAACAAAAATTGAAACATAATACAAAATGTTTGGTGAAGGCTTAGAAAATATTTTATTTAAACTTATTTGCATTATTAACTCATTGAAAGAGCTTAATTTGTTAACATTTTATTTATTAATTATTTTTCTGTGTATGAGTGTTTTACCTGCATGTATGTGTGTGCAGTGCCCCCAGACATGTGTCGTCCTAATTAGTTATGGAGAGAAGTGTATTTTGGGTGTGATTGCATTGTACCGTGTTTCTGTTCCTGGGAGCATATACTTAATTTGAATGCCAGTACAGCCATTTGATAGGTAGATGGAACGAGGTCAGTCTTTACCCAAAGTCAGTTGTCTCTTCTGCTAAGTGAGGCTGACTATAACACTTGCTTCACAGCATCATAAATACGTTGTTAAAATGTAACACACTGACTACTATACAACCAGTAAATTGTTGGTGAACGTTAACATACCCAACAGATGATACAGTGCACCCAGATGATAACGTGCGGAACTTCTAAATGGTTGCCAGGTCTTACTGTAACAGAACATTATATTAGGATGGCTGCCAACCTGCGTCTTACTGTCAGTGAAACCGTACTCAGATTAGTTTATGAATTTAAACCTCCCTGCTCTCCCTCCTGCAGGAGACAAGACTCAGGTCCCTCTGCTTCTTACGTAAACTTAGAAAATGACTAGTGTTGAAAATTAGCATATACAAGGTTTATGTCTAGTCCCTTCCGTTTGCTCTTTTTCTCAGTAAACAATAAGCAGGTAGCACCTCCAGAAAACAGTAGTGTAGACAGTAATAAAGTTTCTTTCTGGTGTCCCTGTGTACTCACTTCCATCTGTGTCTTTACTGTGTTCACATGGACTCTCAGCCGTTTCTTTTCACCACCATCTAATTGTGTTTTTCTTTCAGTCCATCTGAGTCTCATCTTCTACTAAGTCCTCAGTGTATCTGTTTTTCAGATTGTGAAATTAGCTACTTATGGCATGCTGCCCAAAAACCTGCACAGAAGAACCATGATGCAAAGGTTGCATCTTTTTCCAGACGAGGTAAGTCAGCAGCACTGAGAACAGTGCTTTTTCTCAGTGCTCAGGGAAGCCTTTTTTCCCGCCTTCAAACAATTGCCATAGGTTTATTTTCAATAATTGTTTCTCGATTTCCAACATATTTATTGTATTTTAAAGTGAACACAGTGCATGCACGTATGAACATACGCACTCATGCACATTGGTAATTATTCCTACATTAAAGCATTAAGTGACGTATTATTAAAATAAAATACAAGTTAAAATACAACAGATCTACAAGTTCTGTTGGCATGTCAGTCACTGCTTTCTTTTTAATGGGGACTATTATGAGTGCCCTGTGAAATGGAGGTCCTCAACGATAGTTTCATCAACTGTGAAAAAGTAATTTTGTTTCATTTTATGTGATAAGTAGTATGCTTTCTATGGATCAGAGATTAACGACTCAGATTGCTAGCTATTGCCCATGACTTAACAAGAATGTTTGAAATTATAATTTGTACAAGCTAGGTCACAATCTGCATATCCAAACTAAATTCTGAGAAGGAAAAGTCCAGTTTAGAAGGCAGTAGTACTGGATACAGTGACCCGGCACATCACTCAGTTGGGCAGAAGTGTGAACATGAACCAATACAACAGCTCCTGATAGCAGACAAGGAATTAATTACTACTTTTTCAAAATTAAGTTTCCAGGGTGGCACACAACTGTATGCAGCACTTGGGAGGCAGAGGTAGGGTGATCACACATTCAAAGCCAGCCTGGGCTTTTAGATTGTTTTATGGCCAACCTGGGTAAAACCTTGTCGCAAGGAGCAAAGAGGTGGAGAGAGAAAAGAAGGGAAGGACCAATTACAATGTACATCACTGGTCCATTGTACTTTTCAGGGATTTATACAAAGTATTTTAAAAACTACAGTGTTTTTCTGATTCCTTTTGCTAGTTTCTAATACTGTTTATTGTTTACTAATAGGAAATATATTTTAAGAATTTTAAGTCTCAAATATGTTTGATGTAGGATATTCCAGAAGATATTCTCAAGAACTTAGTGGAAGAGCTTCCTCAGCCACGGAAAGTGCCGAAACGGCTGGATGAGTACACCCAAGAGGAAGTAGAGGCTTTCCCGAGAGTGTGGGCTCCGTAAGTGTGCCTTTCCTTGTGTCTCTCTGCTTTCCTCTTTTTCAAGCTGAACTTTGAAAAAGAATAAGATCCTTAAAGGTGGTGGGAATAAACATTTTCTCATCCCCTTTGAAACTCAGCAGCTAAGAACTACAAATAAGCTCCAATGGAGATGTTGGACCCAAAGGTCTTTAAGCCTTGTGACCATGCTAAGTAAGTGTAAGGGTGTGGTTGGATACTTCACTTGAGGTGACGTTATTTGGAGTGATTATCTCTTCTAATGGTAAATCCACTGTCATTAACCTAAAAGCAGTGAGTCTTGATTTTCACATTGTTTTGTAAAGATAAGAATGTCACCTAATTAAAAGTCCATTGACTCTGGAATTTTAGTTTTGATCCTAGAAGAAGAAAAAAAAATAAAACGTTTTCCTCTCTTCCATAAAATTTCCTGTACCTTATGCCCTAATGACAAGCTATCTCCTCTCTCGTTGTCTCCAGGCTTCCTGACTTGGGAATACAGATGAAGCATGTCACCTCACTTTCTCAGGCAGTGCCCCCATAGTCCTTACGTGGCTCAGGCTCCCCACTGTAGACAGTCCTCATGGGCTTTTCTTTTCACTGCTCTATTTATCCTCGTGCAGTTGAGATGTGTGTGTGCTCGTCTCTTAAGTGTCTCGTTTTGCTCACTTGATTTCACAAGAAGACTGTATTCTTGTCTTGCTTAGTGCTGAGCACAGTGCCCAGCATGCTGCATAAGCACTCAGCATATTCTTACCAAGAGAATTAATTAAGGTACATAATTTTCTTCATTAGCTTTTATAAGTAAAGTTCTAAAAAAAAAAAATGTTTAGGAAAAAATGAAACAATCATTTTTCAGTTTTTACAGACATTTATCACTACCTAAAATAATTTAATTTATATCTTTTACTATTTGTCTCTATATTAATAACAGTAAAAATAGCAAGAAAGTGCATGCTTTACATGTTATCACAGCTAATTATCCTCTGAGTAACTAGTAAGTTAGTATAGTTTGGTCCCTATTTTTATAAATTGGAAAACAGAGGCAAAGGAAAGTGTGGACTAGTCACTGAAAACCTCGTCATTGTGAGGGGTGGACTAGGGATGGAGCGGAAGCTCCTCGGTCACCCTCCCAACTGTAGCCCTGGAGCGCCTCCCTCGCCTTGTGCATCTGTGGTGTGCCCGACTGTAAACATGTCGGCTACTACTGCTGCCTGCGAACATAAGGACTGAGCAGTCTGTGCATCTGAGAAACCCAGCTCATGGAGATAGTACTTAGCATGTGTTCTCAGGGATCAGGGAGTGCTTCTGAAAATGAATGAATCCTTCCCTCAAAATTAATCCGCACAGCTTCCATACTTCAGTTTGAATTTGCCTCTCTATGACCTAGGTCTGTACCCCTAAGTAAGCCTATTTCCTCATCTGAACTTACACAGTACCGGCATGCTTGATAATGTAGCATTGTTATATAAAAGTATATACCTAGAAAGAATCCCAGATACTCAGTTTTGATAAATTACATTCTATAATAGTGCATAATATGTCCTGTCAAGTTGCTTTCTGTAACAATGTCCCAGAAATAGAGGTATTCCATGTCTGTTAGTCTCACAGAATTACCATCAGAAGTAAGTTTATATTCCTGACCAGAAGAATTGTGATAGCATTTTTTACTAGATCTACCACGGGTGCAATTAAACCAAATATGTCCCTAAACATTTTATGAACTTGAATTTATAAATTTATAAAACTAAGTCTATTTAGTATTGCTATATCAAACCATACTAGTCACACTGCTTATTGTAACTTGAGTGTCTCCACTAAATAAATAGACTCAGAAAGGGCTTTTCTCTGATGATTTTTAAGGACATTCTCAGTGAAACTTGGAGCCGCTTGATTTGGTTTTGAATTACTGCAGTGGAGATGGATTTTCCTGCCCTTTCACTCCATAGTCCCCTGTAGCAGGAATATGCATTAGACGTCGGGCTTTTCTTTAGGGTTCATTAAAGTTGTGGTCTTTCCTCCTAAGTAGTTAATGCAACACGTGGTAACTTCTATTGCCAAAATAGTATATGGATATGCACTTACTGAAACTTTACCATGTATAGGTATATTAATCATTTAACATAAATATTCAAAATGTCATTTTCTCTGCATATTAGAGCTGCCATTCGGTTCAGGTAGTTTTAGTGCATGAGACGCATGTGACCAGGAACAGCTTCATAGACAGCCAGCTCTGGCCAGCTGTGGGACTGAACCCTGTACTGTCATTACTGCGACAGGAATAGACTTGAATCTGATGTCATTTTAATAAGCTTAAGTTTTAGTAACCACGAGTGACCACCTTGCTGGCCTATACCATTGATGTTTAGCACTTTGTAAATTCTGTATAGTTTAGAAGTAAAATTAAAGTACCTCAAATACCATTCAATTCAATGCACTGAAAGTGAAATTTCTTATTTTTGAATGTTCACCTTTATGTGATAAAAATCTCCTTTTGGAGGAAGAACTTAACTTAAAATAAACTTTCATTCCACCAAAAATAGCTGAACCAAGACTATAGTCTTAATTTGGAATGTAATGGTTAGAAATGATTCAGGATCAGTCTGATGGTGAATCTGCAGAGACATGACTGAAGCAGGTGTCCTGGACCACACCAGGAGTTAATACACTAGGAAGTGGCCTCCTTTGGTTTTTTTGTATCCCTGGTAATAAAACTTACATGGGGATTTTTGTTGGCTTTTGGTATTATAGAAATTGATAAACTTTCCTCTTGGAGGCTAAAGCTTTTGAACAACAGTAATAATTGTCAACCTAAACATTAAGCCAGTAGGTGATTAATAAGTTTGATTTCATCTTAATTAAAAACTAACGTTGTTGGGATTTTATTTAAATCAGTGATTCTCAGTCTATGGGTCACAGCCCCTTCAGGGGTCAAATGACCCTTTCACAGGGTCACCTAAGACCATCAAAAAGCACAGATATTTACATTGCTGTTAACAACAGTTGCAAAATTACAGTGATGAAGTAGCAACAGAAATAATTTCATGGCTGGGGGTCATCACAGCTCGAGGGACTATATTAAAGGGCCACAGCGTCAGGAAGGTTGAGAACCACTGATTTAAATTGTTTTAGTGCTTACAGAGGTTGTGTTTTTAGTTATTGATTAGTCATTTTTTAAAATAATGGTAGGAGATAAGAGATGAAATCTGTTGATAACAAAAGTCATAACTTTTTCAAAAGTAAAGCCATTTTTCCATGTTGGTAATACTGGCTGTTCATCTCACTTCTTTCAGTAGTGGGTAAATTTGTCATGTTAGTGTCTTTTAAACCTAAAGAATACAGAATCTTTTTGAGGAAAATGCTATAAAGTTTATATTTTATGCTCTAGATATTACAAAGTAGGTGTGTGCCTGATTGTACAAGTGTGGTTGCAGGGTATGCACTTAGAATTTCTCCTTATTTGTGAGAAGAAATTAAAAAACAGCAGGGCTATTCTTTCTTTATACTTCAGTGGCCTGAAATTGTAGCTTTCACATGGACAATTATTTAAATACTCTCAGTAATTATTTCCATAATTGTTGCAGTTTTGCCAGCATATTACACAACTCCAATGATTATATACTCTGTGGTACTCTTGTTGAAATGGAAATTTTTTATTGTGTAGGCTAAAAATAAAAATTGGATCATTTTAGACTTCTTTAGTTTTGAGTTTTACATAGTTCTGTAGGAGAGCTTTTATTTGGAAAGACTGCATTTATCTTGAACTGCCTTGCATTTTAATTCCTCACTTGTTAATAATGCTTTATATTAACAAAATTCACCTTTATAGAGAAACTGAGTGGAAAGTTTGAGTGCCTTTATAACAAGTCTTTCTCTGACCCGCCAGCCAGCTCCCAAATAATGACATAGAGATTTATTATTAATTATGAAAGCTAGGGCCTTAGCTTAGGCTTGTCCCATTAGTTCTTATAACTTAAATTGACCCATTTATATTAATCTATGTTTTACCTTGTGGCTTTTTACCTTCCTTTCATCTTACACCTCCTCTTTCCTCTTTCTCTCTGGCTGGCAACTCCACCCTTTCTCCTTCCCATAGTTCTTTCTCTCTGCCCAGAAGTTCCACCTATACCTCCTTCTGCCTAGCCATTGGCCATTCAGTTCTTTATTTAAACCAATCACAGTGACACATCTTCACACGGGCACAAATATCCTACAACAGTCAGTGGTGCTTGAAAATTTACAGCGAAATCCCACGTTCTCCATGTAACACAAGCTACTGAGTATGCTTTTAGAAATGTGCCTGCCAAGAGGGGTGGAGGGGATGGAGACAGGAGTATGAGGACAACCGGGAGTGGTCTTGGAATTGTCTTCCCACTGAGCAGGATCAGGTTCAACGTGTTTAATGAGTAATCCACATGATGCTATAAAAGCAAAGTGGGGTTCCAGGTGCTGGGAACAGTGGCACCAGGAAACACCCCAAGGAGCACCCTATTCGGGCTGCAGCTACTGAAAGGATCAAGGCTTTAAGTTCAGTATGTGACCTCTGACATGAAAGCCATTCCTCCTGATAATGTGCGTATTGTCAGTTTAGTTTAAGTAATATTAAGACAAGAATTTTCCCCGTGTCCTTATAAAACTTGAAGACAGTGAAGGAAGATTTTACATTCTCTAATCCTATAAGACGCAGGGATCTGGGGTGACAGCTTCAGGGTTTTCTATAACTGCTAGCTACCCTGGTCATGTGGCGTTTTCCAGGACTTAAGTTGATATGCTGTTCCTCACAGTCGGGAGCTGTTAGCCGAGCTTAGGGAAGAGCGTGCTTTGCAACTGTCCCATCCTGTTTCAACCAGTCCATCACTGGTGTAAACCGTAGACCTGGGGTTTGCAGTGGTGCCATTTGCTCACATGAGACCTTCTAAGCAGCTCTTCTGGATGTGAACAGATCAGCAGCACTTGCTAACATGAAAGGAAATCTATTTTAAGTAAGAAAAAAACTTGTGATTTTAGGGGGGGTTTGTTGTTGTTGTTTTCTTGCTTTTTGAAAACACATTAAACATGCATCCTGAGATCAGGACAATATGTGGGAGTCCATTTTCTCTTGCCCTGGTGTGGGTTCTAGGGATCAATCTTTTTTTTTTTTTTTTTTGGTTTTTCGAGACAGGGTTTCTATGTGTAGCTTTGAGCCTTTCCTGGAACTCACTCTGTAGCCCAGGCTGGCCTCGAACTCACAGAGATCCGCCTGCCTCTGCCTCCCAAGTGCTGGGATTAAAGGCATGTGCCACCAGGGATCAATCTTATGTTATCAGGCCTGCACACTAGCACCTCTACCCACTGAGCAACCCGGCAGCCTGAGAAACTGAACTTTCTCATTTACTAAGCACATAAATATTTAGGCACAGAGAGACTGGTTTACTTTCTAAAGTACTTTGAAGTTGTCTCTTCTGTTTTGTGATACTTTGTTTTGAATGTGTGTTAGAAGTGCTGTCCTTAGGGATGTCTCAGTAAACAATCACTTCCATTTTAAAGGGGAAAAAGTAATCTTCTTCAGCCAGGAGAAAATGGAATAATGCTTCATGAAGAAGTACACACGGGTTTTTTTCATCTTTCAGACCTGAAGATTATCGGCTATAGGAAAGTGGAAGTGATCAAAAAAACAACAAGAGACTGGATGCTTCCTGAGGAATCCCCTGACCCGGAACAGAGAGAAAACAGCACTTGAGCTCACCGTGGGAACACCCGAGGCAGGCCTCAGCAAGACACTGCAGTAGAACACACTACTTCACAGAATTCTCTGTGGAGCCTGGTTTAAATGCTGTAAATGTTAATAAACCGCTCACTTGGTTATCCATTCAGTATGCCACTTCCTGAAAACATAGCCCCTGTACCACATGCCGTTGAAGTAGCAGACATCCCCACCTATGTGTGTTTTCTCACCAACAGATTACTGTTCTTGTACCCATGAACGAGGCCCTTTCTCCCTGCTCCTCTCTTTCCCTCTTGGATCTGTCTTACCTCCCATCCCGCAAAACTCATCCTCTGGCTCGTTGTGTTCACTCTAACAAAGATATGTTACTGTCATCTGTTTCTGGGTCCTGCACAGCCAGTCCTGTTCCATATGGTCTTAGGAGATGCTAGAGGATGTGGGAGATGGAGGTCAACTCAGGATGAGACTCCTCTGAGGTGCCTTTCATGAAATATCCCCCGTGCTGCGTTTGGACTTTTTGGTGACTCACTCATGCCCCCGTGAAGTAACTCCAGTGAGCTCATTGGCTCAGCAAGCCATGCACAGGTGCAATCGTTATTTTGGTTTGTTGGTACCCTGTTAGGTCAATCAGTCTTGTAGAATCTTCACCATAGCTGTGGCTCTTATTCCGGGAACGTTCGTGTGCAGGTCCCCTGTGGGCCAAGCATCTTTTTGTACATGTGGAAGCCAGTGTTGTTATGTCCCATGATGCCAGGTGGGCTGGTTACTAGGCTCCGGTAAAGATGAGGCTGCAGGGATGCAGCCTTTGGGACAGTTGTTGAAGCCAGTGAGGAAGACACCCTTGATGATATTCTCAGCCACATACTGCATGTGCCATAACATTTATGAGAACACATACCGGAAGTCTTACAGCTAAGTAGCAAGCAGTCATGGTATGATTAGTGAGAGGACATAATATCTCATTTGTAGTTTCGTTGAAACCAGGCTCAGCATTATTTCAATCATTTAGGAAAATATACCATGGCAAACACTAAAAGTCTCAGACAGTCTTTAAAAATTTAAATACTAAACGATTTACGAAATGTATGAATGAGAGTTAGAAGAAATGTCAAAAGGCTTTGGTTTCAGTTACCTGGTGTACTCAATTGCTGGTGAAGTTGAAGGTGAGTATTGGCCAGTTCTGAAGTCTGCATGGGTGTGTCCTCAGAAGGAGCTGGCTCGAGTTTGAGGTAAGACATAGGAATCCGAGAGTTTGTCTTGTTAAGGTTTTAGTACAGGAGGTCATTAGAAGCACTTTCCATCCAGCTGAAGGAAGTCTGTGATGTGATATCTTTTCCATTGATAATAGCACCTGGTTTTATCTTTCATTTATTTAGTTCTTTATTGCCCAAGAACTCACTGTGGAAAGACTAGCTAATTCTGAATTTTGTTATCATTTGTATAATTCCTTAATCGTGTGTGATGCTTTTTTGTAACAGAGAGACCTCAGATAGCTCTTTGCTCAGCCATTATTTTATAAGGTGATAATTTATTTTATTTTTCCCAAATAGACCATAGATTAGAACTAATGGAAATATCTTTCTTAACTTTCTTTGGATGAGAATGCCAAGGGCTTTAGTCATTTATACAATTGATGTTTTTATAGTTCAATGTATTTATTAATCCTCAATCCAGAAGATCGAAAATCATATGCACAAGGAAAATTCTGCAACAAAAAGCCAGATTTTTTTTTCTTGGTTTTTCAAGACAGGGTTTCTCTGTGTAGTTTTGGTGCCTGTCCTGGATCTTGTTCTGTAGACCAGGCTGGCCTTGAACTCACAGAGATTCACCTGGCTCTGCCTCCCAAGTGCTGGGATTAACGGTATGAACCACCACTGCTGCCCAGCTCAAAAAGCCAGATTTTACAAATAGATTTAAGTATGTGTTCACTAAGATGAGTTTTACATCACTGTATAATTTAGCAAAAATGCTACAGGGAAGAACTGATCTAACCGAAGCTTCCCTGTTAGATCAGCGGCCTTCTGACAGTCGCAGCAAAACCATGAAAGTTGGAAGGGTGTAATGCCTCAAAATTAGCATTATCATCACTCAGGAATATACCAAGTGAAATACCAAATATCATAAACGTGATTAAAATACCTAATTATGAAAGGATTTAAGAAACAATGCAGGAAATGTTGAGTTACTTAGCTGGGTGGTCAGTAGTCAGTGGAGCTGATGATCACTAGCATCTTTAGAATCTAGGTGATGTGTTCTCAGGTGAAGTCGGCCCATTTGATGTGAGAAATGTGAATGGGAAGCTCCGCTCCACTTGTGTAGACAGGAGTGGTTGGAAGTACCTGGATAGAGTTAGAAGTGGTTGGAACTACCTGGATAGAGTACTTTCTTCCCCTCAGAACAGTCTTCTGTGTGATATCTTTTTCCCTTTAGTTGATGAAACCGCCTGGTGTTCCTTATCTTTCAAGGAAGACTACCTAATTCTGAGATTTTAGTTACCATATTTGAAAGACCTTTATGCTGGTGTGTTTTCCTGTAATGGAGCTGGCTTATATACTTCTTATTTACTTTTTTGGTTGCCAAGTCCTTATTTTATATTTTTTTGGGATGCCAAGTACTTTTTTATAAGGAGATAGAGGATGTTTTCCAAAGGGGGTAAATCTTAGAAGAAAGCCAAAGCTGTAGTTAATTGTCAATATTTTAAATAGATTTAAATATTTATCCATTAAAATTAGTTCCATGATCATTGTTTAATTTGGTAGGAATGTTCCAAGTAGGAAAAATTCTCGTTAGAACATTATCCCTAATGGTAAAGCAGTGGGTATCTAACAAGCAAGGTTTTTCCTAATGGAAAACACATATAAGATATATAAAAACCTAATCACAAGTTTGAAATGTCTCATTTAATAAGAGGAAAATGCCCTTGTTTTTCTAAGCCATTTTTTAAAAACTTTATTATAGACAGAATCAAGCAGTTTTATCTCAAGATACAGAATTTTGGCCTTAAAATTTTTAATAACTTTTGTATTATAAACAATTTATCAGTTACAATCCTACCCATTTCCCTTATGTTTATTGCCTACACTCTTTCTATAGCATTTTGATTCCCTAATGTTTACACCCAGCTCCATTTTGGAATAATTTCTCTTAGCATCCAAGGTCTTTTTGCAATCGGAAGCATTTTCCCTTTCTTCATCTTTCGTCTACCAAAGTTATATTGCATACCTCTGAACTTTGTATCTTTTTTAACTCATTAGTTTTTTCCTTATCATTATTATTGCTACTTCTATAGAACGTAGAAGACATTTTAAAGGTAATTTTAAATGAAAATGTGGGAAAAATTTAATTAATATATATATATAATGTTTAACTTAGAACCTTTTTTTTTTTTTTTTTTTTTTTTTTTTTTTTTTT